AAAAAAAAAACCGGTAACCTGGTTGCCGGGTTAACGAAGTGAATCGGCTTGTTTTACAACGTCGTTGCCAAGCGGCGAAAACCCAATCCCGATGGCAAACACCGGGGGCGGCGGCTTGTTTTACAACGTCGTTGCCAAGCGGCGAAAACCCAATCCCGATGGCAAACACCGGGGGCGGCGGCTTGTTTTACAACGTCGTTGCCAAGCGGCGAAAACCCAATCCCGATGGCAAACACCGGGGGCGGCGGCTTGTTTTACAACGTCGTTGCCAAGCGGCGAAAACCCAATCCCGATGGCAAACACCGGGGGCGGCGGCTTGTTTTACAACGTCGTTGCCAAGCGACGAAAACCCAACCCCGATGGCAAACACGGGGGGGGGGAGGGCGGATGGCTCTGGGGACGACAAAATCAACCTCGAGGGCCTTTCCACATATTCCTTCATGGATGTGGAGGATGGCGCCAGCACTGATGAGGAGGGCAAGAAGGATGGCGACACCGGCAATGTTGACGTGGACCAGCTGTCGGAGGACGCCTCTTCCAGCGATGATGAGAGCGACGGTAAGTGATAACGTATTTCGCGTTCATTCGGAGCACAGAAAAATTACCCTTGCGGAAGAATCCTCCTCTCGTTGACACATTAATGAGTGTTGGAATATTGTCCCCGCTTCAGGAATTGCCACACCAATAGACGATGCCTCCGCTGTGCCTTGTCAGGAGACGATGACAACGATAAGGACCCGCTGACCCAGCTCGACGCCGATGGCGAATTGTCGCCTGAGGAAGAAACGCTGAAGATGGACATCCTGAACGGGTTTCGACTCCAGGCGTCTCCACCACCGGCCCTCGATCAGTCGATAGTGAAGCGTGGGGTTCTCTTGAAACTCGGGTTGGGTTGGTTCGGAGGGGTAATTAGTCGCAGATCTCACCCCGCTTCGCGCCGCTTCGCGGCAGGAGTACGACTATCGCGTCATCCTGCACTGCGACGAAAGCACGCGTAGCATGAAGATGCCGTTGGAGTCGTACAGCACGGAGGAAGACGCCGCAATTGGGGCGTGAGTTCTCTCAGAGGTAGACCTAAAGGAAGGGAGCNCGACGCCGATGGCGAATTGTCGCCTGAGGAAGAAACGCTGAAGATGGACATCCTGAACGGGTTTCGACTCCAGGCGTCTCCACCACCGGCCCTCGATCAGTCGATAGTGAAGCGTGGGGTTCTCTTGAAACTCGGGTTGGGTTGGTTCGGAGGGGTAATTAGTCGCAGATCTCACCCCGCTTCGCGCCGCTTCGCGGCAGGAGTACGACTATCGCGTCATCCTGCACTGCGACGAAAGCACGCGTAGCATGAAGATGCCGTTGGAGTCGTACAGCACGGAGGAAGACGCCGCAATTGGGGCGTGAGTTCTCTCAGAGGTAGACCTAAAGGAAGGGAGCGGGAGGCACAAAAGGGTGACAACCCCCAATGTTCGCCTCGCGGAGCTTGCGACATAATGACGGGGTAGTTTTCGTTGTTGGCACGTCAGCGTGCGGGTGAGGCATCATGCGGTGTTTATGCATTTGTTTAATTTCAGCCCTCACTCATGAGGGGGGTACAGGACCTTGTAGCGATAGCGAGACGTTGCCGCTGGATACATTTCGCTTCTAGGGAGTGGCCTAACGTGCAGCCGTCGGTAGTGAGAATCGGGGTTGAGTACGGGGGTCGAGGAAAGCAGTGAAAATCATTTGAATATTTGGAACGTTGTGTAGTATGCAAGCAGAGAAAAAAGAAATTGCCGGTTGAAGAAATTCAACAGGTTTTGGCTGCACGAAAAAATAAGAAACTTGAAATATGAAACTGAACGACATACGCGGAGTTTATAGCCCACAATAAGAATTCGAGGCTGGACCTGAAATAAGCGTTTCTTAACGGCGGGCGCCAACTGTAATGTTCATGCAACAAGAGCACTTGTTGAGTAATCTCTTCATGCGTGTATTCTAGCCGGACTCTCGGACGAGAGGGGGCCTACTACTGAACAGCAATAGATGGTGCGAATGCCCGGCATTGAGAGCTGCCTCTAGGGCGGCACTGGACCAAACGCGGAAGCCATGCCAACAGCAGCGCGAGACCAAACGCACCACATCAACGGGGGTGGTAACACAGGTTACAAGGAACTACATACCAGTATGATATGAGTACCAGCGGCCGGACAAGACCGTATCTTCGACGCGCACATGCGGCAGGATTCACGCATCTCCGACTCGTCGACATGAACGGCCTGCTGGAACACACCTCTCAGCACTGGACATGTCGGCGGCCTTCCAGTAACTCGGGGGAAAGCAAGAGGTCCCGATGAAGGTGGACGAGACGGCGAAACGTGGCGAGACGCATGGGAGGATAGTCATCCAGCATCGCGCTAGAGGTTTGCGGGCCATTTGCCCAACACGAAAGTGTCCAAGACCTCCGCCACCCTGCGAAATGAAGGCACGGCAACCAACTCCCGTAGGAATCACCGTAGACACCGGAACCCGTACAAAAAACGGAAAGTTGTTACCAATGGGAGCCGAGCCAAACATGGTCGCTACGTGCGGTTCGGGCGGTGGCAAACTGGAAAAGATCCGGGCGCTGCGGACTCCCTAGTAGAGCCACTCGAACCGGAAGACCCCACTCGGTGGCAAATTGTCCTCGACAACGCACCGCGCCATTCCCGTTCGAGCCCAACCGTGAAGAACAAGCACACCAATCAAGGTGCTCGAGGAGAAGCCGGACAGAGGTACAACCGCACCCCCTTCGGATGGACCAACCTATTTCGTTCGTTTTCCGAAGGCTGGAAAAGGAGTGCCGACGATCCGAGCGGTCGACGAGTTACGCAACGCCGCTTTCACAGTTCGATAGCGCATATCAGCCGGCACCTACGGCAGGCTCTTCAAGGAGGCTAAAATCCACGCTCACATGACAAGCCAGCTGAATCTCATAAAACCCAGACGCGTACTCCTCTTTATTGCGTTGTCCGCCTCAGTTCTGCTGTTGAGTTTCACGGGTTTTCGGGCGAAAGACACCACACCTGGTCTCTCCATCGAGTCTTCGCTATGCCGATGTTCCCTTTCTGCGGTTTCCGCCGTCCCGAACGTATACGTAGGCTCGGCCTCCGACAGCAGGGGTTTGCCCAACAGCCCTTTCTCGGTGGACAGCAACCGTCTCAGCGACGGGTTTTCCAGCGTCTCGCCGCTTTCGACCACTAGCCCCTCGTTCCCCCTCTACCGGAACGACACCGACGACAGCGGGAACGAGCCGTGAGTGAGCAGCATTTCGATGAGCGTAGATATTTTCGACGAGGGACAGAGAATCATTCCGTCAAAAGAAAAGACACCCGGACCACCCGCCCCAACGCACCTCAAAACCTGGGTCACACCGAACGGTACGGAGCATCCGCCACAACAGTTCTGAATGTCGTGCGAAACTTCTTCACGGGGAGTTGGTTGGGTTGTGTCTGCGAAAATGTAACACTCTCTACCCCACCCGGCATGACCCCCTACTACACCAGTCAGCAGTATTATGCCACAACAAGACAGAGCACAATTCATTCATTTTGTCGTGCTCGAGGAGGTACCGCGCGGACAAAGCTTGCGCTCAACAGCAAAACATTCTGATATTTTTCACCGTTTCTTTCGAGGGGGGCGTTGATTACCGTTGTACGCGGCACTCTACGCAGCTCGCGGTACTGGGCGAACTTGACGATGGCGTCAAGACTGGAGCAGGGGGTTGCCACCCGTGGGGCGGGCAGTTTCGAGACGGCGGTTGCGCGGTAAGTTCTACCCGGAGAAATTGCGGCCGAAGGAAATTTTACATGCACGTATTTGGTAAAACACATTCATATGGACAATTGTTTTTTGATATTTCGATAGCCCCGCGCTTGCTACCATGGAACAGAACAATCTCTGATTGGTGCCGAGGTTGTATTTGATTTGCGCCAACAACAGCACGGCCACCACTTTCGCACAACCAATATCACCACCAGGAACATTGTAGACAACAACAACAACGAAAAACAGTAATAGGTACCAACAGATAGGTTTTCCCTCGCACACCTCTCTCGCTCTGCCTGACTGCTGTGCTTACCTCCAGGTATAACGTTTTGCAGGAGAGCTACAGCTCAGAAAAGCCTTCGGTCACGTTTCCAGTGCACGCGTGGAGGCGTTGGAATCCTTCCGCGTTTGCAATTCAGCAAGGTTGTCGTTGTGGTTGTCGTCGCCATTGCCATCGTTGTTTCTACCTCTGTTGTCATCGTCGTTGTCGTTGTTGTTTGTTTGCTGTTGTTGTTGCTGTTGTTGTTGCTGTTGTTGTCTCCAATCTCTTCAAGAATCCCTGACCTCTGCGCCCAACGGTCCCTTCATTTCCGTGCAAGCCAGACCGGCACGAAGCGTTTTGCCACGTAGATACCAGGCTTCAGCCCAACGGCAGTACACACAAAATACAAGCTTAAAAAACAACATGAGAGAGAGAGAGAGAGAGAGAGAGAGAGAGAGAGAGAGAGAGAGAGAGAGACGCAAAACGGGAATCTCGGCCGGGGGCGTCCCCCCCCCCATCATTTTTCATTGCTCCGAGTGGTCTTCTGCGTTTTCCAGCTTTGTCGGCGTCGGTCGTCGGTGATGCGCACATCTAACCTTGTACTGCAGGGGAGATAAAGATTGCTCGTGCAACGGCAAGGGTACAAACGTGGTCTAGTGGGTAGCCTCGCGGCCTGTTAAGGGCCGGGTCATGGGTTCGGGTCCCGACAGAGTGAGTTTTTTCTCGCCATTTAATTCCTGGCCTCCGTTGGAAGCGACGCGCTGCAAAGCTTGTTCTGAGGGAAGGGATTGCTATACCCTGCTCGCGATAAAATATCTCAGGCAGGAACCGCAGGAGGGGGTCCAGCCCCCCCCCCTCCTATGTGACCCCGCTTGGGTCGTCTAGCTGGTACAAGTGGAGGATAGGGGCCGGAGGGGCAGATGACAGAGTTCAATAATGGGAGACCAAGAAAAAAAAACGAAAGTTGGAACGAGCGGTCGACGCCCGAGGGATTGTCGTGGTCGCCGGTGGCGGCCGGCCGCGACGGCGGCAGCGGTGTTGGCCTTTTCTTTTCTGTTCTGGTGGCATGAGTCCAGTTCACAGTTCGCTTCAATTTCAAGCGATGAGCGTCTGTCGAAATCCTCTCGCGGGGCAGTTGAACCGTTTCGGGTGTCTCGCTCAACTCGGCAAGAGACAAATGCCAAAGCGAGCCAAGTCTGAACGGATTTTTCTCGCAGGTGAAACGTACGCGGTGCAAGTGCCGGGGGAGCAGTACTGGGAGGACGGCCGAATACGTGCCGACGCCGCTGGGTATTCCACCTACTACGACGCCGTCGACGCTTGCTGGGTGAGTGCCCGTTCTCGTTGTCTGATGCGTGTCGCAGGCGAGGCGGAAGACCTTGGAATTAATGTTGGGCGCTGACATGGTTCGCAGTTCTACGAAAAAGGGTTGTGCCGTCGCCCTCCGTTGCGGTCGAGGCCAACGATAACTTCAGTCTCTCCCTTATTATTTTTTTTTTCAAAGAACACGACGAAATAATCTCTGCCACAGACAAAGGAGCCCGGGACAGGTTAACCATGAACTCATAGTGCTGCATGATGGCCAAAACTTGAAATTCTATGTTGGCTCAACGCTAATAGCTGTGTGTCGAGGTTGCTGGCAGGTCGTGCGAAAGGCGGTTTAAGCCAATGCGTAGAAGGCCGAAGATGGTGAAGTTGTTGTAGCCTTGCTTCAGCTTTCATTGACTGCCTGCCGGTGGCACCTAGGCCAGTTTTAGAGGCCTGAGGAGGTGGCGAGTCAGGGGGATAACAACGCAACGAATCTACGAAGATGTGAACAGTTTCAGATGAAACAGTTTGGTAAAGCGGACAACATGAATGGCGTTTTGGTCGTGCAACGACTGAACGCGTCAGCACGGCTGACAACAGACACAACTAAAACGGAGCAACATAGAGGACAACTAAGAATGACATAAGAAGCAAGAAGGACAATCATGACGAGAAAAGCGAAAGAAAGCACTCATGGGGAAAGGACACGTCAAAGTCGACATGAACTTGAAGTTCTATGTCTGACAATACAGCCACAGAGCGCGCCACGTCAATGTTCCCTTTTGGCGCTCATTTTCCTGTAGATGCTATTTTTCGCTTGTCTCGTTCCTGGCGGTCCTTGGTGGGAATCATCGTCGTTCTCAGCTGTTCTCTCTTGTCGTTTTGATGTCCTATGTTGTCATTCCTGGTACCGTGTTCAGTCGTTGCGTGACCAAACCCTCTCACGTTCTCCACTTTGCGAAACTGTCGCATCTGAAAGCTGCCACGTTGTCGTAGATCCCTTCGGGTTGATCTCCCCGACTTTCCACCTCCTCAGACCGACGTTCCACCTCCTCAGACCCCAAAACTGGGCTAGGCTCCGGTGCCCCCGGCACACAATTACTCAAAGCCCTTGGTGAGGCTACAATAACTTCGCCATAGTATCTTCGGTCTCTTTCGCATCGGCTTTAACCGGCTTTCGCACGACCCTTGGGCTGCAGGCAAACCTCAACACAAGTTTCGATAATCGCGTGCTAGATACGACGATGCCGTCGATTCTTGCTGCGATTGGTAGATCAGCAGCATTTCCAGTTCCACTGCCGTTATGGTTTTGTTAATTCATGTCTCGACCTCTGCTGCTTGCAGCGCTGTCGACTCTTGGTGGCCGAGTGGTCATCACGTGTTTATTTGTTTGACCGACCACAGCAACATTTACGTTTTTGCCATTCGAAAACGTGACCTTTTTTTTGGCCGACGAGCTTGCTGCTGCAAAGACTTCGTCACCGTCGCTTCTCAGCCCGGTCCCAAGGAAGCGTGTGGGTGCCGCCGTTTGCCGTAGCTGTTTCTGCAAACGATGCTCGTACGAAAGTTGTAGCGCGCGCGTTGCCTGACGTCGTCGCCGTCGCTGTTGCGGGCCCTCTTGCCACGGGTGAGCTGTTGATGTACGCTCACTTGGCGGGTACAAATGCCTTGCGGAGTTGTTGCGGAGGAAGGCTGGGTTTTGTTTCTTCCGACATCGACAGGTTCTTGCAGTTCTTCTTTCTGCGGGTGTCCGCTTTCGTACCTAGACTGCTTGCTCTTCTTGGCCTTTCCGGGCTTCCAGATGATTTCCTTCGGCTCCCGTTCGGGCCATATCTTCGCAACATGCCTGGTGACAAAAGCGCAACAAGAACAACATCAGCAACACCAACACCACCACCACCACCAACAACAACAACAATAACAGGTGGCCAACGGGCGATGCCGATCGTACCTGCATGGCTCCCAACCCCGGGTCCCCGCCCAATACGCGCGCTGGATGGAGCTGGTGTGCGGCATCGGAGATTTCGTGACGGCATTGAGAGAGGCGATGACGGGGGAGGAGCGCTACCTTCCGGTAAGAGAGTCGGTGGCGTTTCATGATCTTTGGAGGCCGTTTCGCAAACCCGATGCGCAGGGCTGTGGAATATGCTCGAGAGGGCTGGTTTTGCATGAATTTTCCACGAACAAACGGTGATCATAGTGGTCGCCCACCGCTCAAGGGTTGTGTGCATTTTGCAAGTTGTCCTTGTGTGTGAGCGCACATGTTTACTGCCGAGAAGTGATCGGGTTTCCACCGGAAACGGTGGAAACAATTCGAAAAGCGAGAAAATACTATAGCTTGGTGACTCTTCCCCCTCCCCCCCCCCCCCCCCCCCCCCCCCCCCCCCCCCCCCCCCCC